TTATCCCATAACAGAAGGGAAAGGAGAGTGGGCTGGGACAGAGCTGACAGGAGCTGATGGCTCATGTCTAGACAGCACTGGCCGGAGCCAACCCTGAGCTGGCACCCCCGTGTCACTGGTGAAGATCCTGAAGCTCTAGTAGAGAGAGGGGATTCCCCCCACCACCATCACCACCAGCAGGTTTCTGACCAAACGTCTCACTCAGTTTGGGTCTCCTGGGCATTTTTTGAAGCTCCACGTATTAACCAGTGACTTTAGGCATATGTTCATGGGGATTTAACACTCTTAGCATCAGGGTAGCGTTCCTTGCCAGACCTAGTACCGTCACCTCTTCTGGTTGATCGGAATGTTGAATCCATATCCCTGACACCCTCTAAGAGTTAAATCCATGTAAGAGCCGAGGACACAAGTCATTCCTGAAGGGCCATTTCAAACCCAGCTCAGCACATCCCACTCTCTGAGACAAACGTAATTCAGAGTGGAGGCCCTTCGGACACATGAGTGACTTCTCCAGCCTCCTCAGCTGCTTGAGGCCAGACACAGCAGTGGGTTCCGGTTGCAGGCAGAACAGAGGACAGAGAGTGAGGGGTTTTCACCGTGGTGACCGCAGCGCTGACCACAGAGCTAAGCTGGGTCAGGAAGGGAGAACAAAGGAGACAAAAGCAGCCCGGTGCTCACACTGCATTTGTGGAATCGTCAGAGTAGCATTAGGGCTGTTTTGGGTTGGGTTTCTAGGGAAACGGTCCCTGAGATGGAGGTTTAGTGTAAGTGGTTTCCTCGGGGTCCTCTGGGAAACGCCTGTGAAAGAATGAGGGGAGCAGGCTGGAGTAGAAGGAGCAGCGAGGCCACAGCCAGGATCGCAGGCATTGTCCTGGACATGCTGACTGAGGCCTGAGCATTACCTCTGCCCTGGCCACTGTCCTATGGAGAGGGCTCTTTGTTGTTTGCTGGTCAGTTGTGATTGCCATAGAGAGAACAGGCTGGGCCCTGTCTGTTTAGGGGTGACATAGAAGGAGAACGGGCTTCAGTCAGATACTGACGAGCATGGGGGTGGGAGTGTGGCAGATGTGACCTGAAAAGTCGCCTCCGGGGAGCAGATGGGTCCTGGGCAGAGGAGAGAAAGGGATGCCCACAAGAGGTGGGGGACAGGATGCAAGCTTCACCTTTATTCTTCCATGGACTGCCCCTGAGTGGGGGAGGGAGACCTCCAGGGGAAAGGATTGCCAACTGGGGGTTGGGGAGGTGATGGAGGGGAGAGAGATGAAAAGACAACAGTTTGCAGAGGGAGTAGTTCCTTAGGCGGAATCCTGGGCCAAAGGTCACTGCTCTGATGCGCAGCCTGGACTTTGTGCCTCACGGTACAGGAAAACTGGGAACTTGTCCTTGAGACACGGGGGTGCAACGAAAAAGGCATCATTGCAGGAGCAGGAACAGGCTTCCTGGGGAGGCGGGCTGGGCAGCCACTTCCACACTGGGGTATGGGGCCCAGGCACACAGGGTCAGGGTCCCGGTGGGGTCAGGGCTCAGGATGGGACTCACACCAACCCAGCTGACCAGGCTGCTGTACAAGTCGGAAGGCCGCTTGCCTGGTAGAAAGATGACTCACCTGGGAGGGTGGGTATGGTCCCACCTCCCCGCAGCCCATTCCTGTTGGCCTCTAGACAAGCTTTTCAACTTGAATAAGTTCTGGCAAATTCCCTCCAGTTGAGAGGCTCTCCTCAGGTAAGTTAGCCTTGGACATCAGAACACAATTAGTTCTGTCTTATTTCCAGGCAATTCTGCCTTAGAAGGTGACTTCCACATAGCACCACACCCAGCCCCCAGCATTCTGGATGCATTCCCTGTCCTACCTGCAAGCTACCTGCTCTCCAGCAGGTGGCTTGGGGCAGGTCAGAGGGTCAGGGAGCCCAAGAGCCATATGGAAAGTGACCTTTCGCCTTGTTCAATCCCCTCATTTTCCTAGAGAAACCGAGGCCCAGATGGCCTATGACTCCCGTGAAGCCACAGGCAAATTAGTTAAGCACCTGGGTCCCTCGCAGGGACAGTGTGGGGTCCTGGTCAGAGCACTGTCAAGGTGTCATTTCTCTGTCTCTTCCTCCCCAGGTGACAACCTGCTGCTGGTGAAGAACCCGGCCCCGGCCCAGCCGCCCCAGCCCGCTCAACCCAGCCTGCCCCCACCTCCGGTGGCC